CGTTTCCAAAAGAGCATACATCTCGAGAGATATATTTACGTACAAATGTAATATTGTAATAATATCGGCAAACCCACAGCCACAGTTTTTGATTGGTAAAATGTATACGGGAGAATAGAGATAAAAAAGGAAATATGACTAATAACTGTATTTGGATCAAATCCGTTAAAATCTTTTGCAAAATATTAAAAATTTGTCTCTTTGTAAAAATCTAATTTAACTGGGATTTTACAGCGGACAAACCAACTACGATTGACTTCCCATGCGTATTTTCATTTCACGATGACAGCGGCCGAAAAAAAAAAGAAAAGGCATTTTTTCTGTCCAATAATGGAAATTTGGCACGCCCCCGGCTGTTCGACAGGAACATGTATTGATTATATGCTAGTTAGTCTCCACCAGAAAAAAAACAACTACAAACATTCGCCTAGTCCTCTATAGGGAGGCTCAGTTTCAAAACAATGAAAATAAATACCAGTTTTCACGCTTTACAAGAGTTTTACAGTAATTACGGAACCTTTAATCTGTGGTGAAAATGGAAACCATATCTGGAAACAATGTGTGGCTTGGTGCAAGAAGGGCAATATCAATAAATTCAAAGTTATACAGAATGGTGGTTTTCTCTTTTGGTAGAACATTACATATAAGTTAACAATTTCTGTATTATATCACTATATGGAATAAGTAACAATCATATCGTTACTTTTGATTTGGCAAAACAATACAACTGTAATAAATTGAATTGTTTAATCTCTTTTATGACAGTGTCTTTTTGACCAATTCCGAACGTACGTCTTTGACCTGACATCCAACCTCCACGTGCCAAAGGAATGGTTAAGGGATATATTCCTCTTTGTTTAAATGTATTAAGGGGTAAAAACTGAAGTTTTATTTATCTTAATTTTCTTCAATAAATAATTACGAATAACCAATGTATGGTTTCGAAAAAGGCAAGAAAGAGAAATTTTTGTGCAAAACAGTAAGATGAATTACTGTTAGTATTGTGCAATACTGTTCATTTAAACACTTGTCAAAATAAATGTTGCCACATTATAAAAACAAAATATGAATTTAGAGTACAATATTCTTAATGATAAAGTCAAGAGAAATAACACGTAGGAGCAGAATTATAAAGTAACAAAAGAAAGTAATTACTTAAAATTATTTGATGGTCGTCAGCTGAATAACGTCTCTTTCATTTAACGTCTTCATGTTGCCCATTATGAATGTTTACTTCTAGGCTGTCCGGGACGACGCGGCGTCAACGCGGACAAGCCTAGAAGTAATGGATCGAGCCGCGGAAGCCTACGTGTACTTCATGAATGTTGTTTAAAAATGCTCCCCATAGTCTAATTTGTTGATTGGATGTATGGATGGCAGAAAGATTTTAAGATCCTTGAGCTTGGGGAATTGGCATGGAAGAGGTTTATCCTGATAGGCTCTAAAGCTGCTAGACTGATATTTCTCAGACTTCTTTTCTATTGCTAGCCCGAAAGGTTTCTTCATCAAAGCTGTACTTGTACCAAAATTAATTCCTGGAAGATTCGTGACTATTGCATATATTAATTTAAGCCCAAATTGGCCCTTCTTACACCATCGTAATCCACGAAAACAATCTTGGCCAAATGAAAAAGCTCGAGACTGAAATTCCGAGATAGGATCGACTACTGGACTGGGCCTTTCCTGCACTTAAAGAAGGGGCTTTATAGCACACATTGGTCATACTATGAAAAATTACTAAAACCTGTCATTGGTACTTCTTGCACCAAGAACACAGAGATGCCGATCGTAGATATATCACGAAATAATTATTGAGTTTTCCATTGCCCACAAAATTATTTATTTCAATAGCGCTTTCGAATGAATCAACATCAGTTTTCTGCTATATAGAAGCCACAAAACAGACTACTGTACATGAACAATATTGTTGCAATGACAACCATTAATTATTATTTCATTAAATCATTGTATTTGACTCATAATATTTAAATTTTAAATCCTTCGACAACTCACCACAATACCAAGAAATATGACGTTGTTCTAATATTAATTAAGATGTACCGTACTGACAGAAAAACGAAGATTTGATGTGATACTTTTATAATTAGGAGGTATGACTTACATACTTCAGGGAACGGACGTGACACAGTAAAGAAATGAAAACTATTATACAGTGACGTTGAAAAACAACGACACATGCTATTTATGTTAAAGTTTTATGCTACCTTCTATAAAATTGTTGCAAGGTTTCTTGGGGTATGACTAGCTTCTTTCTCGATCGCTAACTCTTGATAATCGAGATAGTTTGGAAAACGGAACGGACGTCCAAACCAAAAGTTAAACAGGTCTTCAATCCTCAATAAATGACATTTTTTTTGTCTTTAACTTGTAACAAGTACAAAGAAATGTGTTAATATTTGTGAAATTACTATATTATGTTAGCATCACAGTCAGAAACTGTTATTTCTTTCAAAATAGGAGGTAAATAAGTAATTAAAAATATTCATTTAACTGAATTTTAAAACATTATAATTAATGTAGATTCAATGTCTAGAATTTAAGAGCAATCAAATATGAATATGATTATTTTGTGAAATGATGCCACATGAGCAGTGTTCTGTCAGAAAAATAAATACGTAATTATGATTTCATCGGTTGACAGAGAGGAGGGGGTTTCATTTCGTATCTACATCTTTTATTTACTTTTACAAGGTATGACAATTTTATGGAATTGAAAATAACGCTAAGTCAGACATGTGTCCTGTGATATAAGTGCATCGGGAGAAATAGTCTTTAATCAAAATAAAAGATAAAATTCTTCTGTACAAAAGTTTATAAGTAATATTAAAAAGAAAAACTTGTTGGAGGCTTATTTGGGTCACTCCTATTAATCAAGGTTAAAGAAAAAAAAATGTGTTATAAACCAAAGAAAGGCTCAATAAATCAGGAATAAATGAGACAAACTACTTGCTGACGCATGGAAAGAATTAAGAGGAGGAAGTCGCACGTGACAAAGCAACACCTCTGGAATTGGTAATCTGGCGTTTTCAGAGATAAGCGTCACTTGAGCCCAGACCTAAAAAATGAAGCCTTCTCTCCCTCAGCCGAGGGTGCGGCACGCCGCGCCAGCGGGAGCAGCAGCAGCAGTAGGGGTGGACGTGGGGGCGAGCAGAAAACGTGGGGAAGGTGGGGGCGCTGGCGCAGGCGGTGGCGCGGGCGGGCGAGGAGCGCGGGCGTTTGAGCCGCGGGCGAGAGGGCGCGGGCTGTCCGGTCAGCGCGGAAGCGGGAGGGGCTCGGGCGGGAGCGCGGACGGGAGCAGGCGGGGCGACAAAAAAACAGCTGCCGGGCTGTCGCGGAGCAGCGGGAGAGGGTGGCGAGGCGGGGACGAGCGCGGCGAACGCGAGACGCGGCGCGGCGATGGCGGCGGCAGCCGGCACGCCACAGCAGGGTGTGCCGCCCCGCGCCGGGGGGCAGATGCAACCCGCCCCGCAGAACGCGCCACAAACCCCGCAACAACCACCCTACCACACAAGAATACAAGAACAACAGAGCAACAACAGACAGGCACTCATCAGGCATTTGCAGGCTATCTTTAATTCCACATCGACGCAACAACAAAGAAGGACATAGGACCCCCCCCGGCCGGATCCACCTCCATTCGAAACAGCAGAGGTCCACATAGGCATATCTCAACACGCGGCTGTCGGGGCCGGAAAGACGGGGCACGGCTCTTGTGCACCGCAAGGCGTGCGGGCAGGTTTGGGCGAGGGCGGGGGCAGCAGAAGCTTGGTGCACACTGGTTTGAAACGGACCAAAATACGGAAAGGAACACATTTTGCTATATCTCGCGCAACTATTCTAGAGAGATAGATAGAGAGATAGATAGGGATAGAGAGATAGAGAGAGAGAGATAGAGATAAATAGATAAAGATAGAGAGAGAGAGAAAGAGATAGAGAGAGATAGAGATAGAGATAGAGATAGAGATAGATAGATAGAGAGATAGATAGAGAGAAATAGAGATAGATAGAGAGATATAGATAGATAGAGAGATATAGATAGATAGATAGAGAGAGATAGAGAGAGATAGATAGAGAGAGATAGATAGAGAGAGATAGATAGAGAGAGATAGAGAGAGATAGAGATAGAGATAGAGAGATAGATAGAGAGATAGAGAGAGATAGACAGAGAGAGATAGATAGATAGAGAGATAGATAGAGAGATAGAGAGAGAGAGATAGAGAGAGATAGATAGAGAGAGAGATAGAGAGAGATAGAGAGAGAGATAGATAGAGAGAGAGATAGAGAGATAGATAGATAGAGAGAGATAGATAGAGAGAGAGATAGATAGAGAGAGAGAGATAGAGAGAGAGAGATAGAGAGAGATAGATAGAGAGAGATAGAGAGAGAGAGATAGAGAGAGAGAGATAGAGAGAGAGAGAGAGAGAGAGAGAGAGAGAGAGAGAATCCCTGACAACTAAGATATTTTTATTTAGATTTTTGTTTATTTTTTACGTTATCATTGTCAAGGAGGTTTTTGCCTTCTATTCGTACATTACAATAAATATGAGTTCAAATAAAAAGGAACATTTAATAAAGCGAATGAACGTTCTCATTCAAGACTATTATGTACACATTTAACAAATTTTGAAATTCGTAATTTAACTCTAGAATTCTTATTTTTATTGTTAGTAGTTAATTTCTTCTAAACCGCACGTAATGCACTCGGCTCCTTGCGCGTGCTCCCAGTGTCGTTTCGGTGCACTGCGCGCCGTCGTCCGCGGCGGCGGCGGGGGCGGCGCAGGTGAGGCGGAGGCGGCGATTTGCGGTGATTAATCGCCCCGAGGCGCGGGCGATCGATCGCTCATCGCCTTCCGCGCCCGCCCCCCTTCCCCGGGCGGGGGAAGGGGGGGGGAGGTGGCCGGCCACCAGGCCGCAGAGGCACCGCTGCCCGAGACAGGCGCTGGGCTGCCGGGCCGGCTCTCAAGCGCGCCCTGCCTCCGATGCCTCGTTTTGCGCGCACCGTGGGGCAGCAGGGAGAGGGCAGGTGCGAGGGCGAGGGCAAGGATGAGGTCGAGGGCAAGGGTGGGGGGAGGGCAAGTGCGAGGGCTAAGAAGAGGGCAACGGCAAGGATGAGGTCCAGGGCAAGGGTGGAGGGAGGGCAAGTGCGAAGTTGAGGTCGAGGGCAAGGGTGAGGAGGAGGGCAAGTGCAAGGGTAGAGGTGAGGGCGAAGAATAGGTCAAGGACAAGGGCAAGGATGAGGGCAAGGGTATGGGCAAAGGCAAAAGCGAGGGACTGCGTAGAGTCCCTAAATGTGGACAGTACCGCATTCCTTTGCGCCTCCGATTTCGCCATTTTATATCCAATTAAACTGAACTATATTAGGAGTGAGTTAACCACCAATATACCAAAAACCAATACCAATATTTATGAAACACTCCACAATGCCTTCGATTGATATAATTTGTCCTTAACTCATGAATGCTGTCTTTTGGAGCTACTGGGTAAAAGGATATTAAAAGGTAGCTGTCGTTAAGGTTGCGTTACTCCTTGTATCTAGGGCTACGGGTTCTCAAGCGTGCCCTACCGTCGACGCCACGTCTTATCGGCGCTGGACCCAACCGACGACCCCAAGTCATGGATGAGCTGCTCCGACGCACGGAGTTTCGCTCGTTCATTGCAGCACAAGACACTCGAACCACGTGGCCACCACACGGACCTTTGGTTTGAAAAGCCAGGCCAGACGCTGGCCGTCATACTGCAAGGCAAGGGGGAAGTGTTGAGAAACATTTGGCAAAAAATGAAAATTTTAAACAGTGGCCAATTTCAATGACTTGTAACAAGGTGAACTTTTGGTGTCTGCCTGCTTTTAAAATTTCTGTCAATATCGTGACGGAAACTGATATGTGAAGATCATTGAGTGAAGCCGGATAGGCTGCACAGAGGCTCAGCCATGTCTTCACATCGTGTCAAAATCACACTTCACGCTCACAGGTGAATATTGTACTCTGTTTCTGAGCAGTGTGCATAGGCTTGCGTTGAGATGATGGGGACATGCGGGCCATAAGCGTCTCTTGGTCTTACGTAAGAAGACATTTTATTTATTTAGTAATTTGTTTATTTATTTATATTTATTATAAAAAGAATTATTATTCTCTATTTTCCGCTTTTTTCTCCTCACATTTGAGGAACTGTTACGCGACATGGAAAGAATAGTCTCTTCAAACCCTCTGACAACCCTACAAATGATTCGACATAAAATCAATTGCAATTATTAATTTTATTCATAAAGATATCATTTATTTCTCATTGGTGTATATTATTTATTTACTAGTAAAATATACCATTGGCAAGTAAACAATTTTCGTAGGAAATGCAGGCCAGAAGCATAGTTGACGCCTCTTATTTTAGACTGCGAACGCCTACGGCAGTGAGGTTTTTGGTTATACATTAAAGATCTTATTTTTAAAGTGATGTTTATTTGTTTTCGTTTGTTTTGTAGTTTTATGTAGCAATATGATCTCTAGCTAGGAGTCTCGATTTTCGCGATTAGCTAGACACATATGTTTGATTCAGCCGCTGTCTGGAGAAGAAGTTTAGCGATCAGCTGCTCTAATCAGTAGTTTCTTGCGATTTCTCCGATCAACGATAGGCGAATGCCGGAGCAATGCCATAACAAATAGGTCACGGACCTAGCGCGATCCTTCCTTCCTCAATCTTCATTTCTTCTGTCTCCTTACACAACTACGGTCACTACACTATCACGCATGTGTACCAGAGCTTAGAGATTGTCCCTGCTGAGTTCGTTCTTCACTGATGGAGATACCTCGACAATGAAACACCGAAATGTGAAGTGAGATTGGCGCTGGATCTCAAATTCCAGCGGTGGAGAATTCCCGTAATCTCCCACTTTATAACATGCAGTACACCTAAGGAATGAATGAACGTTACCCTTGATGTGCCCGGAAATATAAAATAATCAATCGTTGGAATATTAATGCCTCCCTATCAAGAACAAAAAATCTGTCAATGATTAGGTTGATTGATTAGTGATTACGGTGGCGTGAAATGCTAAGGTCATAAGTGCCGAAAGTGTTGTGTATGTTTTCATCGCAGACCTTGGCGTTTGTCTTCCCTCGCGCCAACCTAAGTCCGCTTGCGGTGTTTTCCTCAACCAGGTATATCCCATCAGCTTGGCACAGATCTAGCCGAGGCAAGCTCTAAGCATCTGTCTAGTCTCCCTATAAGTGTGTTAGTGCAGTGCATGTGAGTGTGAGTGTGTGTGTGTGTAAGTGGCGAGAAAAATACAAGAAAGAGGAAGAAAATATCATGTGCAGTCAATAGACCATCTTCATGGTATTGTTCCAGCATTCGCCTGGTGTTGATTGGAGAAAGCACGAAAAAACTACCGATTAAAGCAGCCATTTACTAGAAATCTTCTCTAGACAGCGGCTGATTCCACCTAGCTCTCTAGCTAGTGTCGGAAATCCTGCCAACATTGGTCCACGAACTCTAGGGCCTTCCGATCAGAAGCACCTCATTGACATCAGTTTATGCCCTGAGCAACCATTAGTCAATCATTAGGGTGGTTAATACGTCCCTTCTTCTTCGGTCCTATCTTCCATATACGGAAGTTAGGTGACCCATAACGGATTTTCTTGGGATAAATTATTCAGGGTGGTTTCCCGTTGCCTTGCCTTCCCTGATAAGATGATGATGATGATGATGATGATGATAGGGGGTGAAAGGACGAACACAATATAACCATGCCCGAGGCGGGACTCAAACCCGCGATCTTTCGGTACGAGATCGCTACGGCACTACTGCCTTAGCGATCTCGGCCACCGGATCGATGATACGTCTCTACTGAGTACAAAAAAACCACCAACCAGTCAATCGGTAGGATTATCGGCAGTACTGATTACAAAAAATCTACCAACCAGTCAATCGTTAGGATTTTAACGCCACCCCGCTGCGTGTGCGCAGGTGTGAGTGGGTTGCTGCTCCGGACGCCGCCATGACGGAGGCTGCGACGGCGACGGCGACGGCCACAGCGACGGCGTCGGTGACGTCGACGTCGGCCGCGTCGTCGACGGTGTCGCTGTCGACGCCCACGCTCTTCAACCTGACGACGCTGGGCATCGAGGAGGAGGTGAACGGCACCGACGACCACCACGTGGGTGAGTGCACGCCCAACCCGCCAGGGCCCAACCACGCAGGCAAATGTGGGCGTTCTAAACAAACTTGAGATTATCGAGTGTGGATATCTTTATTTATGAAATTCGTGTTTAAAAGTTGGAATTTTATGATTTCTGTTATGACTAAAACAAGATCATTTCATAAAACAGTATTTTATTCATAATGCCAAGCATACAGAGAAACCCGTAAAATGCGTAGTCACCAAATAACTAGGCGATTTACCGGGGACTTGCCTTATTCACCACAAGCCGAAGAGATATTTAAACAGGATGCCTTGGTCACGATCAAATACTAAAAAAAGAAATTCGTAAAACTGACCGGCAGCGTAATCACTCAATACTTGCACTCTCGTAGCGTGCACTATTAAGGGACGACTGGAACTGCTTCACCGCTCGCTGCCGCCATTTTATACACAGTCAGGGCTGAAGGCTCGACGACTGAACTGCCGATGGCGCACTCGGTCGCGCAGACCGAAGCGTGGCGGCTCCGCTGAGCCCAACCTCAGCGACTTTCCGTGAGCGGAGCCAATATTTTCATGTGACGCCGCCGCCTCGCTGCTGCGCCCCGGTGCCGGTTCTTTCAAGGGGCGCGGGCGACTTCTACAATTTTACGTATATTTTTTATTGAATACATATAATTTTTAAATATTATTTATAAATATTTTCAAACGAAGAACTTTTTAAATCAATTCCACGCATTTTTAGCTTATTATGTCCCACCACTTCGTCTAGAAAACTGGATTAAGAAACATCTGAGCTATGCTACAAGGTATTCGTGTTTGTGCACCTGTGATCTACTAATTGATGTTTCAAAAAGCTGTGTTCTAATTGTAGTACAAATTCGTCACTGCTCTTTGAATGCTCTACCTCCATTTGATGATATTTAGCGAAAGAAGGAAGGGTATAATATATTTTTATCCCTTCTGCTCGTGTTTAAGTAATGTTGTTCACAATACTCATTCAATTTTGTATGTTACCTTTGATTTATTTTTAAACTCCATTCTTCAGAAATCAATCCTCTGACAACCCTACAAGGTTTTCGACGTCTCTTTATTTGAGCCTGGTTATAAATATCTTTTTAAACTCTTTCTGTTTTAGCCTTTTTTCTTTTATAATACTGAACGTCGTTAGCTTTGGCGTGATGTCTCATCTCTTGCATGTTCTCACATGTTATCATTATTATTTTTGTGTCTTGTAACATTCATTGAAAAATCTAATAAACAAAAAGAGATCATATATTGTTGTAAATGGTTTGGTTGAGAAGAATTTATTCAGCACACTTAAAAAAATTATATTATAGCGAGACAAAAATACTATTTTTCTTGGAAGGTTGAATATCGGGGATGAAGGATCAATAAAGACTTAGATTTATAGTGACGTGATGCAATGAAAACATTACAGAATTGTAAATGTACAGTAGAATGAACAATCTTCCCAAATGTGCCTGCTCGCTCAAAGTCAAAGAAAAGTATCTCTTAACTGTCCCTATTGCGTGGCTTCTTAAGCCCATGTGACAGGCACTCACTACCTATGTCGCTATAGTGCTGGAAGAGCATCAAATGTCAGCGATACCGAACGCATGACGACACCAGCTTAAACGACAGGGGCAAGTTAAAAGAGGCTACTCGACGGCAGCCGATAATTACGAAGAGGGGCATAGCTGTCAGTCAAAATTTTAACGCATCCACAGGAAGGTTATTCCAACGCGTTTCAGCTACACCCGAACCGCAGCATATGTTTGGGCATAGTGCGTGAAACTTCGAATGGATTCAGGAGGAGGAGAGAAAGATTTATCAAAGTATAAAAACTTTCCCTCCGACAGGAAGGGTAACGAAGGCCCACAGGGGCGGGGTCTCAGCAAACCATCACGCACCGCCACGCATCGCCACGCATTGCCACGGACCGCCAAGCACCGCCACAAACCGCCACGCACCTCTCTGAACCGCCACGCACCGCCACGCGCCACGACACACAGCTACAAGCCCCTATGCACCGCCACGCACCGCCATGCACCCACACACCGTTATGCACCGCCACGCGCAGCCACGCGCAGCTACGCACCGCCACGCGCAGCCACGCACCGCCACGCACCGCCACGCGCCGTCACGCACCGCCACGCACCGCCACGCACCGCCACGCGCCACGACACACCGCTACGCGCCGACAGTCGCTGCCGCCTCCGCCGGCACGCCTTGCCGCCCACACCACGCACGTCACCCTTCGCCCCTGCGGTTGGCCGCACCGCCGCCCTTCATCCAGCCGGCTGCCCGGCGCCGGCCCCACTCCCCCTCCACGCGCACGTCACTCGCGTTCACGTCTCCGCCCGGGGGCCGCCTGACGAGGCGGAAGCGAAGCCTGGAGGAAGTTCGTCGCTGAAGGAAAACAAACTGGCTTTTTGGCTGACTGCAGGATTCGCTTCTGAAATGAGTAGGGACTAGCTGTAATGGTTACGTGCGAACCATTTAGAAAAGCTAATTATTAACTGGGAGAGGTGACTCAGGGCATCAACTGATGTAACTACAGTGCCTTTGACCGGTAGACCCAAGGGTTCAATATCATGGTAATGGGAGAGGTGGCATTTGATGCCGCTGCAGTGTCTCTGATCGGGTGGTTCTGACGGTGGTAGGAATTTTGACACTAGGTACATTGCTAGGTCGAAGTCAGTCTCTGCCTGGAGGAAAATTCTAACGGCCAGCTGCTCTGATCGGCAGTTTTCCGTGGTTTCTCTAATCAACTCTAGGCGAACGCCGGTCAGTACCTTAACAAATGGCGGCCGTGAGCCGCGTACGATCTTTCCTTCCTCTTTCTTATTCTTTCCTCACCCCTTACTTACACACTGGCACTCACGTGCACTACAGTACCACAAATGTCGGGAGACCTGTCGGAATTGCCGACGTATCCCGTCTGGAGTGGTGCCCCGCAGGTGGGAGATACTTTGTTGGAGAAATCCCCGCTAGCCAAAACTAGGTCGGCACTGTATCTCACCATCCAGCGATGGTGAACGTACCATGCCAGAAATATCATTGCCTGCACTTCACGAAAAAAACAAACAAACAACCATGCACTACACTTACGGGACCCATGATCTTAGCGGTTGCATCCGGAATCACTAATTCGTTAATACAAACAGCTAATTATCATCCTTTCTACTAATTTCAATACGCTACGGAAGGACGACTGATTGGTACCATTTATGAGAAACTATTGACACTTCACCCCGTAAGTGTGTGCTACCGATAGAGGGTAAATTACCGCAGACCTCCATAAAACAGATTTAGGACGACAAAAATAGAAATTCGCAAACTATGATTTAGGGATAAATAGGCACAAATCAATTCGCACCACACGAAACGTCACAAGACACGTTACTTTATAAGCGTCAATAATTTAGGCAAATATTTAGGTTTTTTATAACTTTATCTTAATATTTAACAAAGACAAATTATGAGTGTATACCGAAATCAACGCAAGGAAATGTTTCTCGATAATTTACATATTTTGTGGAGAGCACCCCCACTTTATATGAAGGAATGTCAGAAAAGGATTGCCAGAAATTCGAATTTTCGTCCCAGCGTAAAGCTATTTTATCTTTTAAAGAAACTATAATTTACAAAGTGCTTTTATTATATAAATTACAATGTTTGTTAGCCTAGAAAATGTGATTTATATCTTCCACCCTCCTTCCAAAGAATACGAACTTACGAAGGTTAAATGAAATGTTAGTGGATAGGATATTTTACCAACTTCAATGATAGACTATTAACTTGAATGCACATCAAAACAAATAATTTGTTGAATATTTAATATGAAAATAAAAAATACACATATTTTACACACACTTATTATACAAACACGTATTATAAATATATATTCTGTGCAAATATAGTAAGCATGATCGCCAAGAGAGCGTGCCAACCTCCTGATAGCGTCAGCGATAGTTCACCACATGAATCAATGGCGGGTCATGTAATTTTTTTCAGGGGAAAAAAGACAAGAAGTAAATTACATACACTATCTCAAATAAAATGAACATACATCGACATACAATGGAATAAGTCGGAAATATGAGTTCGGGTTATCCCTTCACACGAAAAATTACATCGTGTGTCAGCTGCTCTGTATGTGCCTGCCTACATCCACACGCGTCTTCAATATCGCTTACGTTCCGTAATACTTTAAACCAGTAGACAACTCTATCCGTATACGGGAACTCAAGGAAACAGAATTTCCTCCCTGTGGTTATAAAGCTTCATTATTAAACGTTTCTTCCTCTGGCTGCAGGAGTGCTGTACGATATGGGCGATTAACATACGAGTTGGTGTTGGAGGAGTGAAAGCTTGCAGTGTCGGCGCAGAATGATTTAGTAGACCGTATTCACGTCGTATCAAAGCGCGCCTGATTTACAACTTTACGAAAATAGTTACCATCTCAACTAGTACACATTTTCTGCAACATTCAGAGCGTATTGTTTTATTACATTAATATGAAGAGAATATGTGAGAAGAAACCGCAACTGAAGCAAGTGATGACGTGATGTCATGACCTTTGCCCTCTGTGTGTATAAATGACTCGCGGGCACCTATTCGTGCGAGCGATACACATGTTTACAGGTTAGATGAAATATTTTCTTTCGCATTTATACAAACTTCATGATTTATAGGAAATAATAAGATATCAAAATATTTATCTGCAATAACTTAAGAGTCGATATTAAGAACCGAAGACATGGCTTTATTTTGAAAACAATGTTAACTTTTTCAACTACTTCAAAACTGTGTTTATTGTATTAGAGAATACATAGTCTCAGGGAATAAAAATTCGAATGCTTTTGTTAATATGAAAATGCGTTTGAATAAATCAGAAAAGGAAATTGTATATTTCTCAGCGACGTAAATTGAAAATATCGAGTTTTGTTGAAGCCTATCTCTAACACTTACCTATAGCAAACTGCTTAATAACCACCATACGCAATCGTATTTTCC